AATATGACTCGGAGTGAAGATCCTCATAGTATCACTCCACTTCATTTCAAATTTGATCGTGCAAGAGAGTTCAAGATTATAGGGAAATAGTATATGAATTTGTTGACAAAGTGATAATGAATCATAATAAGATATTATATACGGGGTGTTTCAAAGAAGCCGCTACTTTAAAGTAGAAGCGACAACGCCGCTTCGTCTGAAATATTTTAGGCGTGTAGGTTATATTGACTTATGTATACTGTGGAATTTTCAGGTTCATTCGTTGAATAGTTTCTCTTTCCTTCTCAGTTTCTTCCAGACGATATTTTTTCTGGCGTAGTCGTGAAAATTCTAGACTTTCCTTTTCTACTCTTCTTCTTTGTCAAAATACGTAAAGGACTCCTTGTTAGCGTCCGGTGTACTTGTCCTTAATGACCTTACGGCTACCAATGCATTTTTGAAAAAATAAGCAAAACTTTCTTGGTATCAAAAATCAAGAATTACTTGATTGTTGCTAATTTCAGACTATCATCGAAACAGTACTCGTAATCCTAATTTTTACTCTCAACCTACTGGTTGAAAGATCCTAATATTTCAATTTTTGTCGTCTAATTTACCTAAATTTTTCCCCATATTGGTAAATATGAAGTGAATATTACGTAAATATTTCTTCTTCAGGAAAAGTCGCCAACCTGATCGAAGGGTCAAAGTAACATAGTTCTAACTGAAAATGTTAGTTGGGTATGAATGGTAGGCGTTGCAGTGAGACTTATATTTTATTCATTTATCTGATATTCATTATTTATAAATGAAAAAAAAACTTTTGAATTTCATTCTAAATTGTTTACATTTGTTAATTGAAATTTGGTTATTAATTACCATAATACCAATTCAGGTATAGAATTATCTATATGGTAATACAGGTATGAAATTACAAAATAATTAATTATAAAATAGGTAATTTTATACCTGTATGAAATTACCTACATAGGTAATTTCATATCGAAACTACCTGAATTTCGAGTTTAAAAGAAGACTACAGAAAGCTGACATTCATAAATATAGAGTTTCAACTTTGAGTGTGAATTTACTGTTGTGATATAATCAAGAAGGAATAATTCGACTTGTCATAATGGAGAGAGTGAATTACCCTTTTTTCGACAANCGTGATTTGTTTATTAAATTGTTTTAAACGAATAGAGAAATTCAATATTTTTGAAACATTTTTTTGCTGTTTTGTTGTCTAGAGATAATTATGATTAAATTTTTTTTTACTAATTTTCATGTTCAGAGTCCGTATCCACCGTCATTTCCATAGCTGTTACCGAACCCCTGTTGGCCATTGTCAAAACCCGGTCCCCCAAAAACCTCTTCTGCCATCCGGGCCTCCTCTCACACCACAGCGACCTTTATGCACACCACCACGGCCTCCTCGTCCCCCCATCATTGGTACACTCATTTGATTAGAATTGACTCTCTTCATATTAACATCCTTTTCTTTGATTTTTTTAACTTTGTCGAACGGCATCTGAGTTTCTGCTATGGCTCCAAACTGTGCGAATTGAGATTTGATGTCGTCATCTGAAAGCTCAGCAGTTAATCCGCCAACGAATATTATGCCCCTTCTACCCTTTGCCTTTTTGGGGTCAACTTTTTTGCCGTCAATAATATGATCGCCAGCTGCTTCAACTTTGCTCAATGCTTCAATCGATTTAAGCCATATTGTCTTCTGCGTTTGAAATTACAAGGACTCACACTGTACTTAATGGGTACAAGCTATCCGAGTCCTGTTTCAAATCTTATCGGTTTTTTGTTCAATGTGACTTTTTATAAATCAACACACTCGTGTTTGTATTGTCTGTGTGGTCGTTCTGATATCTATATTCGAAAGAAGTAAATAAACCTACCATTTCTAAGAATATGTGATCTGTAGATTGTAGAATGCTATCTCTATAAGAGGTAATTTTTCACTTGCGATTAACTAGCTTTAGTTGTTGATTGAATAAGTCACCAGTTGATTCAAATGGACCTTTGAATCCTAAGAAGTTATGTCTTCAGACCCAGGAACTTCTCAAGAAGATAACCCAGCTGCTAATGATAGTTTTACGAACTATTACACTGAAAGGGTATTATTCGTTAGCTATCTGAAGTGGAGTACCAGAGTAACAGAATTAATGAATTACTTTGGAAGATATGGTAAAGTAAACGTAAGCCTACAAACGCATACGACTGGACAATCAAAAGGATTCGCATTCATCTATTTCGCATCTTCTAACGCATTAAAAAAAGCAGGAGAGGTTAGTGCACATATTATCGACGGAAGAAAAATTCACCACAAAATAATTGCAAACCATATTAGTGAATTATATGTTTCTGGTCTAACAGCAGAACACACCATTGCTGATATCAGATCACATTTTGGAAAGTTTGGAGAGATTTTGGAAGTTTATAGGCCGGACAACGGTGAGAAATTTTGTACCATCATATTCAAATTAGAAGAAACTGTAAATACTTTGTTGAAAAATCGATTTCAAATTATTAAGGGTACAAGAGTGGAGGTAACGAGAATGCACCAAAGACCAGGAATGGGCAGAGGAAACATGAACAGGAGCACAGGCAACATGAGGGTCGAAGAAATCTTGACGAGACAGCTATCATCGCAGGAGCAACGTGGACCACCTCCTAACAATCCACTGCTTGGAAGAAACAGATTACCACAGACAAGTCATGGACGACTGTTAGACGGACACAGATTACCGCAGGAAAGAAATGCAGCAAGGCTAGAAGAAAATCCACTAAGGCTGGATGAATTTGGGTATCCGCTATGGGGTTCTGGACTACCACCAGCAGGATGTGGACCCCCACCGGTGGGATGTGGACAACCATTGATGGGACGGGACCTACCATTGGTGAGCCATGGATTACCAAAGATAAGACCGACGGGAGGACATGGACCTCCAATGTTAAGACATGGATCACCTCTGGTGAGACGTATACCACCGTTAGGAGAGCAAAGATTACCTATGAGAGGGCGTGGGCTACCGGTGGGAGGACATGGACCACCGATAGGAGGACATGGACCACCGATAGGAGGACATGGACTACCGATAGGAGGACATGGACCACCGATAGGAGGACATGGACCACCGATAGGAGGACATAGACCACCGATAGGAGGACATGGACCACCGATAGGAGGACATGCACCACCGATAGGAGGACATGGACCACCGATAGGAGGACATGGATCACCACTGGTGAGAAGTATACCACCGTTAGGAGAACAAAGATTACTTATGAGAGGACGTGGGCTACCGGTAGGAGGACATCGACCACCGATACGAGAACATGGACTACCGATGGAAAGATATAGACCACCGATGGGAGGACATGCACTACTTGTGGGAGAACGTGCACCACCGGTGGGAGGACGTAGACCGCCTCTGACAGAATGTGGACCACCGATGGGAGGACTTCCGTTGGCAAGATATGAACCACCGATGGTGGGATATGGACCCCCGACGGGAGGATATGGACCACCAGTGGTAATATATGCATCCCCGATGAGAGAATATGGATCAACGATGGGAGGATATGGACTTCCGATGGAAGGATATGGACCCCCGATGGGAGGACTTCCGGCGGAAAGACATGCACGATCGGTCGGAGGACACGGACCACCGATGGGAGGACATATACCACCGATAGGCTATCGGCCTCCACGGATGAGACCAGATCTTGTGTCAGAAAGTCGTGGACAACCAGATGCACCAACGACGGACAGACAGGAAATGCCGCCGGAGTCAAATGAACAAACTTTGGGGGAAAGTACAACACCAGGCCTAAGAAGGAATAGGCGGGGCAGACAGATTCGCACTAATGTAGGGCCGCGTTTTTTTCAAAAAGACGAAGCGTAAAGTTTCATCCAAAAGGAATTGGTTTATTAGTGTAATAGAGGCTCTTTTTGTATAAATTAACTGTACCGGGAGATATAATAGTGGTTCGCATATCCAACTGACCTATACGAGGAAATATTGTTCAATCTCTAGGTAACAGTGAATATTGATTCATGTTTGTCTTTGTTTTTGTTCGTGACCGATGAATCTTAGTATAGTTTCATATCGCTGTGTAAGTTTTTATTAAATGTGATTTTATGTTTCTCTATATGTGTATTATAAATTGAAAGGAGTATATTTTTAGGTGAGAGTAATTGTTGGCAAAGAAAGGTTTTCGCTTTTTGTTTCTCCATCCTTGTACAAAAAGATGTGGGAATTTTCCAATGAAAGAAATAAATCAATGGATAAGTAGAAAAGGAAACCCTTCTTTTCCAAAAATTTTCATTATGTTCATTGATTATTATTATAACGAGAAGTTGTCGAACACAGTATATTAGAAAATTACAACCTTCTTTGATTCCAATGTGAAATCGAAATATCTCATCATATTTTGTGTGCATAATTTACTTGTCATTTACTTACTTTACAAAGCATATTATGTTTCATATAATTATATCACATTTTATTCTATTTTCGCATTTTAATTTTCTATATTATGTCCTAAATATTGGTGGATAACACAAAATTTTTCAACTCATTGCTCTATACTTTTTTGTACGAAATGAACACACAGTCATTTTCAAAACGATAACAGATTGAAATTTTGCAACTTTCGAAAACCAACTCATTTCAGGTTTTTTGAATTATGATCATATATTCACCGTCACTATGAACTTTCATTTAAAATATACCAGATGCATCACAAGTAATTACTTCAATGCCAAAGACAGATTCCTCATCATATTTAAAAATAAAAGTTCATATGAGAAAATAATGCATGGAAATTTTACCTGAATAATGTTTTCATTCATTACTGAGAAATATTTTTGGCGATTATAATGAAATTTGGCATGTTTGACTGCAATATTGGCTTGACGTGAATATATTTGAAATAATTGCAAGCGGCGCGGCGTTAAAAATCATTGCCTACTAATTGTTTGAATATTGAATTTATTTTAAGATTTCCATACCTAAAATCAACCAAGAGCAAGACATATACAAATTTCAAATTCAAGGAAGGGGCGAGTTATTAGAAATAATATATGAAGAAAATTATTCATAAATTATGCCAGAATTTGATGCCACTTAATTTACCAAAATTCAATATTTATTAATTCGTTAGTGTGATTGACTTCGGATGGAAACCAACATTTTAGTTTGGAATAGGAATTTGTTTGTACTTGATTATTACACACAGGTCAACATTGTTTATATTTTCATATATTGATTCGAGTTTGTCTTTTCTGAAGTTCTTTAAGAAAAAATTATTTTTTTGTTAACCAGATGTCGTTCCCTAAAAAAAAGACCCATTCAAAAGTATGAACTTGTGCATGTTGTAGATGAAAGTGGACTTACTTATATTACCAAAACGATTAATTGAATATAATGATATTAAAAACACATTAATCTTTGATAATCCCGTCAATTTATTGAATATTTCTGATGCAACACACTTCTTTGCAGTGCTTAGTAAATTAATTGAATATAACTGGCCGGTACTTGATGAAAATCCATATTAAAAAACTAATCAACACCGTTTATTGTAAGATTTTCACTATAAAGGATTTTACAAAAACCGCGACACGTGTTTCGCTATACAATAGTTTCCTCAAGCATAAACTTTCGTTTATGCTTGAGGTATGCTTGAAACTTTTGTTTATGCTTGAGGAAGCTATTGTATAGCGAAACAAGTGTCGCGGTTTTTGTAAAGCCCTTTATAGTGAAAATCTTACAATAAACGGTATTGTGCTTAGTAATTTGCAATCAGTTTTGAAATAATCACCATATGTTCCTATACAGTGTGTAAAAGCCAACTGGAATAAATTCATTATTTCGGTTACTGTACATATTTTTAAAAAATACCTAACGGGAAGTATAGGTTTGTGATATATCGTTTGAAAGGTCTCTTCATTCTCTATTCAAAAATGTTATAGCTTTCAAATTTATTGCAACAATTGAGATAAAATAAATTGAAATCATGTAGTTACCGAAATTCTATAAAATACACTCAAAAATTAAAATGTAATGCAAAACGTAATGAAGTAGATATTCATAATGTTCATTTCGAACATCTTGGCAACATCCTAATCTCCAATAAAACTGTCTTCTAATATTATTTAACATATCAGGCGTGACCGACCTAATCGCAAGCGTTATTCGTTCTTTTTCGACATTCAAATCTCAAGGTTTAGTTTTCTACACATTTTCTTTACATATATCCATAGGAAGAAATCTAATGTTGAAAGATCGGGTGATCGCGCTGGCCATTCAATCGATCCTCGCCTCCATATCCACCGATTGGTAAATGTTGTATCGAGGTATTGCCGGACATTAACTTGGTAATATAGTGGTGCTCTATACTGCTGAAACCATATCGTATTCACCGGAACTTGAGGGTTTCCTGGATCAGGATATAAATTTGCTAAACTTGGAATGACATCATTTTGAAATAGTGCCAAATTATTATCGCCATTCAAGTTGCCCTCAATGAAAAAGGGACCATTGATATGATCTCCTACAATCCCTGCCCAAAAATTAACGTTTAGAGGGTATTGCGTGTGTTCTTCTTTCATCCAGTGAGGATTTTCCGTTGACCAGTAGCGGCAATTTTGCCGATTAGCATGACCATTAAGAGACAAAGTACACTCATCAGAAAACATAACGTCTTCTAATTGGATGATATTTTCATCCACCATGTCCATCATTTGCTCATAAAAATGAGTTCTATCAAAATCGTCTTCCATGAGCTCCTAAGAAGGTATCATTTTATATAGGGATGCATTTTTTTAATATGTTTACTATCGATGTATGACCAACTTTGAATATAGTGGATGCCTGTCTACTCGATGTATGTGGGTTTTCCTCAAACTCAAGCACCACATCTAATTTGAGTTCACTCATTGCATTGGCAGCTGCTTTTTCAACTGCCCCACATGACCAAGCTCGCGAAACTGCTTCTTTATTTTGCTTATTGTTCCATGAGATATGAGCGGTAAATTGGGAAATTTCTTATAAAGCGAGGTATTTTCTGTTGTGTTTGGATTTTATCTCCGTAACCAATCATTTGTAAAACTGTTATTTTATGCATTTCCGTTAATTTAACCATTTGTCAGACTTGAAGTTAACGAACTTTAAACTTGAATTAAAATACTGACAACTAATATTGTAACATACAAAACAAGTTGACAAGGCGTTTTAAACTAACGTTTCCACGGAAATTATTTAGTTTTTTAAAGGATACCATCTAAAAAAAACATTGCTATGGTTTTTGCTTACTTTCGTATTAGTAATTCCTCAAGATGAAATGAGTTTTGAGTAAATTGCAATAAGTTTTGATTGTATTTTATCGAATTTCGGTAACCACATGATTTTAATTTATTTTATCTTAATTGTTGCAATAAACTTGAAAGCGATAACATTTTTTCAATAGATAATGAAGAGACCTTTCAAAAGTTATATCACAAACCTATACTTCCCATTCAAACAATTAGGGATTGTACAGTAACTTAAATAATGAATTTATTCTATTTGACTTTTACACACTATCTGTATATATAATAAAACTCCCTGTTTTTTACCACTAATGGTAAAAAAATAGAAAGTTTATTCTCATTTTTCATGATGATTTCTTACCGTGTAGTAACGGCTACATCCATCAGTTTATTGAAACCACTAAATACTCTTTCGTAGTATTTTTCTCTTATTTATCGACTAGCGATCCGCCTCGGCTCCGCACGGGTGCAATGCTGATACAAAATATAGATTCACCCACAGGAAATTTAAGGGCATAGAGGAACAGTGATAAAACATAATTTTGTTTTATGGACCTTTTTCTCCCGCGGCTGGCGGGAGATATACATTCTCTTCATCACTAAAATCATCAGAAATTTCCTCTGATTCCAGAACAATGGATTCGTCTGAATCTGAACTACTCGTGCTCATTTTCCATGTAACTTTTGTACAAAATTTCAGTCTCTGAAAATATAGCAGCGGTACGGAGAAACAGATATGAAAAGGTAAGTTTCGTATGTGAACGCACCTTTTTATCCTCAGTGGGGGCACCCCACTTGGAATGTTTAAATATCCTTTCTTATTGCACATCTTCAGTGATGAAAAGTTGAATGTTGTCTTTGTTGTCCTAGTCTAATAAAGTATTGACCTTTTGGCTGCCATTGCCAAGAATAGTATGTTTCTGAATTTATTATTTTCTATGAAAAGTTGCAATTCAAGAAATGTCTGCAAATGGTTAATAGTGCCCCTCCGGTGAGGTAATTTCAACCACTGTCAGAGGCAGTTTAAACCAAGACGTCAGTAAAATGATAATTCATATATTTATGCATAGTGACTTTATTTGCCAACTCAAAATACATTCTTAGGCTCGCATGGAGACCACAAGACAAGGGCATAATGAACAAACATATTTACTTCACATTATAAAAGGATAAGTTGATGTTGAAAGAAGATGTTCTTGCAGTTTTAGCTGAATTGGGTTCTGGTAACTTTAAAACAAAATCCCGGCCAACTGTAGATATGTCATCAACTAGAGGGTAATAAAATTTGTAATCTGGTACCTTTCGACATAAATATTTAATTTGAAATTCATTGAGGTTTAAACTTTCTATGAGTTTTCCTACGTAATAAGATGCAGTCATTTTTAGAGGAAACTTTACCGAAACAAAGTCATTTTCATCACTTTCATCATCATCTGTTATGAGATGTACATTTTCTTCATCACTAAAATCATCAGAAACTTCCTCTGATTCCAGGACAATTGATTCGTCAGAATCTGAACTACTTGTGCTCATTTTCCCTGTAACTTTTGTTGTAATCTTTGCCTTTTCATTTCGTGGAAACACTTGCTTCAACAGCTGTTTTTGGTTTCGTTCACATTGAATTTATTTTACCCTTTCTCTTTACTTCTCAATTTCTTCCAGACAATTTTTTTCTGGCGTAGTCGTAAAAATTCTAGACTTTCCTTTTCTACTCTTCTTCTTTGTCAAAGTACCTAAAGGACTCCTTGCTTGTTAGCGTCTGGTTTACTTGTCCTTAATGACCTTGCGGCTATCAATGCATTTTCGAAAAAATAAGGAATATTGTCTTGGTATCAAAAATCAAGAATTACTTGATTGTTGCTAATTTCAGACTATCATCGAAACAGAACTCGTAATCCTAATTTTTACTCTCAACCTAATGGTTAAAAGATACTAATATTTCAATTTTTGTCGTCTAATTTACCTGAATTTTTCCCCATATTGGTAAATATGAGATGAATATAACGTAAATATGTCTTCTTCAGGAAAAGTCGCCAACCTGATCGCAAGGTCAAAGTAACATAGTTCTAACTGAAAATGTTAGTTGGGTATGAATGGTAGGCGTTGCAGTGAGACTTATATTTTATTCATTTATCTGATATTCATTATTTATAAATGAAAAAAAAACTTTTGAATTTCATTCTAAATTGTTTACATTTGTTAATTGAAATTTGGTTATTAATTACCATAATACCAATTCAGGTATAGAATTATCTATATGGTAATACAGGTATGAAATTACAAAATAATTAATTNATTAATGAAAAGCCATCAATTGCAGCTAATTTGTCAATAATACTAAGACACGCTGGACACGTGTCTAAATTGATTGTATGTTATATGGTTTTCCTTCTGGGGTCTTCCGAACTGGTCAATGGTGCCCCTAGGTTAAAGGTGAACCAAAACGGTCATTATCAAGTCGGGTCTGTACAAGGAGTTGAAGAATAAAAAAATTAAATATAAGTAGGGAGTCATCACCCGAAGACGGTTGTGGGTACTAAGAATAGTAACGTGAAGTGACTTGGCTTGAAATCTTTTGATTTGAGGTATAACTCTGGAATCTGAGGAGTCAATCTGGAAAATGAACCAATAAAATAATATTCGATCGCAACAGATGGTAGCGTAAGTTGAGCTTTCGCAATTACTCATCTTCGTATAAGGGACGTGAGTGTGATTATTATGAATTTTCAGTATTGAATCAGGAAGTCGAAGTATATCTAGAAGCAAATGATATCTAAAGTGATATTATTGAACGTGAGGTATCGAAAAAGGCTAAAAGATCGGGTCATATCCTTAGGTTAGAGTGGAGTTACCATTAAAATTACCCTAATTAAGCAAAATATAGAAAGATATCATAAAAAAGGATATCACGATGAACTATTTACGCCTAGACCATATTGTGAAAACACGGCCCTTCGGAGTTGGGACTGGGGAGCGGAATATTACCTTTGACTATCGCTCAGCAAAATTATATTTTTTAACAATAATTTAAGCAGAGGTCTATTTGAATGAAATTTACTCTATAGATGTTATAAATGTATTTCAAAATTGCTTTTTTCTGATCTTGGTCTGGGCAAATGACTGAATCGTACTAGCAGAGTTAGAAGTTCTTATAATTCATTTTCGATGCTCAAGAGAGCAAGAAAATTGAGCTGTTTTTAATGCAGGTTGTTTACGGTATTGCTTGTTTCTTCAAATGAATTCAAACGAAAACAATTAAAATGTATAATCAAACAAACTATTCATACAAAGGAATATAATAATCAAAAGACTAAACATGGTGTTTCAAATTAAGTCGTCTAGAGGTCAACCAGAATATTCCGACTTGTTAAAAAAATCCGATAGGTAAGTCTCAGATATAACTAGGGTCCTTTTACATAGACTACTGATAATCATAACAATGTATGTGACTATGATTTCATTTACTGCCTCTGAAGATTAACTATATTTGCAATTTGTACGTAGAAAATAATAACTGGCTTTGATCATTAACGTACAACTGAAATTGAGGTAACTATTGTATTATCAAGTTAGTGTCTGACAGTTTTAAAAAATCAAGGAGGTATAACTCTGGAAACTCTGTCATACAAAAGGATTTCAAGATGAACTATTTACGACTAGACCACATTGTGAAAATACGCCCCTTCGGAGTTGGAGTAGAACATTAACTTTGACTATCGTTCAGCAAAATTATATTTTTTTAGCAACAATTTAAGCGGGTCCATTTGACTGAAATTGACTCTCAATTGACTGAAACAAAGAATTTTTTTACTAGTGAAATAAATAATTATTTCCACATAGTTCGCTCATTTTCAACTTGAGGTAGAAAGGTGATATGAGCTTTGTTGTTGAGGATATGTTTACGAATCGAAATGCATGATAAACTATAGGGTGTCCCGTTCAAAAAAATATCATTTTATAAAATATTTTGAAAACGCGACCTGCAGTTTTTTTGTTTTCGGCATCGAGAAGTCCATTAAAATGCTACTGGTTTGTCCATTCAACCGAACAATAATAACGGAATTAGCAATAATGCCGTCTTAATTTGGAACACCTTGTATAAATAGTGTGTGTTTGCCTTTGAATTATTCAAAAACTTTTCGATTTTTCCCAGTGATCTGCGCCTCCCACAAGTCTGCGCCCTATGTCATGGTCTAGGTTTGAGTTATGGGTAATATGGTAATGAGGATGAGTTTGATGAGATGGATGCATGCATAATGATTGTTACTCGAAAGGAGAATTGACACTGAAACCATATAGCAGGTGTCTATTCCCAAAGTACTTAAGGAACTGCTTGATTGTTAGCGTCCAGTTTACTTATTTCATAGATATCCTTAATGGCCTGGCAGCTACCAATGTATTTTTGGAATAATAAGCAAAATTTTCTCGTTATTATGAATCAAGAATTACTTGATTGTTGCTAATTTCTGACCATCATCAAGACAATACTTGTAATCTTAATTTATACCCTCAATCTAACGGTTAAAATGTCTTAATATTGCAATATTTGACGTTTAATTCACCTAATTTTTTGTCCAATATTGGTAAATATGCGGTTAATATAACGTAAACATTTCTTCTTTCGGAAAAGTCGCCGACTTAATCGACTTATTCATTTATCTGATATTATTATGGAATGAAAAAAAACTTTTGAACTTAATTTCATTTGTTAATTGAAATTTGGTCAATAATTCCTAGAAAATTTTAGGCTAGAAAATAGGTAATTTTATACCTGAACTACCTGCATTTCGAGTTTAAAAGGAGACAACAGAAAGCTGACATTCATATAGAGTTTCAACTTTGAGTGTGAATTTACTGTTGTGATATAATCAAGAAGGAATAATTCAACTTGTCATAATGGAGAGAGTGAATTACCCTTTTTTCGACAACTCCAGGACATTGTACATTGGAGAAGTACCCCTGGGCATTTCGGATGAAGAACTTCATAGATATTACTCAGCATACGGAGAAATCAAGACCGTCATAGTTTCAGCCGATTCAAAGACGAGCGTATCTAGAGGTTATGGATATATACAATTCAGATCAGCGGAATCTATGAAAGCAGCGCTACAAGGCGAAAATTTTACAAAATTGAATGTCCGTAGTGACTCAGGACATTCCTGCGGAGTGAGGAAAAGCTATCCTCTATCAGACGTTTCCAAAGTGAATTACCCCTTATTCGACAACTCCAAGACATTGTACATTGGAGAAATACCTTGGTATACTTCTGATGCAGAACTTGAGACTTATTACTCAGCATACGGAGGGATTAAGGCCGTCATAGTTTTAGCAAATTCAAGGATGAGCTGGTCTAGAGGTCATGGGTACATAGAATTCAGATTAGCAGAATCTCTAAAAGCAGCACTACAAGGCAAAAATTTGACCAAAATGAATGTCCGTAGTGACTCAGGACATTCCTACGGAATGAGGGAAAGCTATCCTTTATCAGACGTTTCCAAAGTGAATTACCCCTTATTCGACAACTCCAAGACATTGTACATTGGAGAAATACCTCGGGATACTTCTGATGCAGAACTTGAGAGTTATTACTCAGCATACGGAGGGATTCAGGCCGTCATCGTTTTAGCAGATTCAAGGATTAGTTGGTCTAGAGGTCATGGATACATAGAATTCAAATTAGCGGAATCTCTAAAGGCAGCGCTACAAGGCAAAAAAATGACCAGTACAATTGTTCGTAGTGATTCCTCCGGTGTAAGTGAAAGCTATCCTCAATTGTATTCTAACAGGACACTTTATATTGGTGGAGTGCCTTGGGAGTGTTCTGATGCAGAACTCCAAGATTACTATGAACAGTATGGCGAAGTAGCTAGCGTTACAGTTGTTGCTAGTTCCAATATCAGTGGACAGAGAGGTGACGGATTTATCGTTTTCAGGAAGAATGAAGATTTGAAAAGAGCATTAGCAAACGAAGCATGAGATGAGTGTACATTTCATTGCTTCCAATGGTTTTTTTACAAATAGAAAGAACTTTAATTGAAATTTCCTTTTGTATATCATAAATAAATATATTATATTCAAGATAAACTAACTGTATTTCTTGCAAAGGTTACTTTCACGATTATTGAAAAAGCCGTTTATCAATAAAACTATGACACGATCGGTGGGCCATGTCAAAATTGGTTATATGTTAACTGGTTTCACTTCGGTGATATTTTGATTGTACAGGTTGATAATGCTTGGTAATTTCGAAATGCTGAAGTGTCATTTTCAACCAAATTCGGGTGGGAAATCTCATCAATGTGTTAATGTGGGTAGTAACATTCTATGGTAGGGTAAGTCTATACAAGATGTTGACAAATATCATATTTCAGTACAGGTAGGGAGGTAACAGACATGTATGAAAAAAAAATTGATTGTATATATGTATTTTTACCACTTTCATTAGTTACTAACGTTACTGCAGTTTCATCCTGTAAGGACTATTACAAACTATTGTAATAGTTGGCAAAAAAAAGTTGTGGTGTGATGAAAGTAGATTTACCAATAACGGATGGTTCAATGGGAATACACATTATCACTGGCGACAAGAAAAAGAATATTCTCTGAGGATACACTATAAAAACAGACTTTTGTCTATTTTTCACGATAGTTTTATATTTGTTGACTAGTTTCGGTCATTATACCATTTTCAAAATTAGGTCTTGTTTTAACGTTTTCTGGAGGTCTGAGAAATGACAATGTATGCATCATATACAGAGATTTCATTATTGTTAGAAGTTGAAAAAAGACAACTTTGAATATAAAATATTATCTGTATATTCAAAACAAATCTAGTATCGCTTTGTTGTCAAATCTAACTAAATAGTTCATATGTTCATTCTTAAAAGATGATCCACATGTGAGTCATTTACTTACGGCAACCTTCAAATGTCATGGGTTGTGTATCTTACCTGGAAATAAGAAAATAATCATATATTAGTTGGAAGTTTGGGATAATTTGGAAATTATTATAATTGTTTCAATGATGACAAATTATAATAGCATTATTACAAATATTTTCAAGGCGAGAGTTATTGTACGTGAGTAAATAATAAACTAAACAACATAAGATTCGTTTCTTTCACTAATATATTAAATGAAACCTTCCACTTTTTGCACATAGAGTCACAGAACTAGGCAGTCGTAACTCTTTCAGTGGTGGAGTTTTGTGCTGTTCCAGGATTCTATGTATATAGCTATACTCGTGTTTTGATATTTCACTTTCATTGCTTACTAATGGCTGTTTTAGACATAAACCAAACTTTTACTAGTACTTTGTATTTCATTTTAAATTGAAGACGGTTGTGACCCACAACTTGTGAGCATATACATTGATGGAATCGTTCGAAAACCACATTTTTAATTCAAAGCTTTGTGTAGGAATGAAATTATTCACATCGTGACAACTTTTTTTAAATAAAACTGAAAGATGAAGTGAAAATATACACTATCAGTGTCTGGATTTAAAAGGAATACCTTGAAGAAGTTATTATATAATGGAACAAGTGACGCGATTTGTAAACTGTGAAAATCTTGGAATGAAGTGTTATTTGAATTCGAATTGGTTTTTATCGACCTTCTTTGGTTTTTTCACTAGCAAATTGAAAAAAATTATTGATTGTAATGAAGAACTTTATATAGATGTAAGACACAATTTTCAGTTCGCCCCGATAAGTTACTGGGTAAACTTAAAATATTTTTCATAAAAAAAATATATTCATTAGTAACTTCTCGTATTTAATAATTCTGCCTATCAATAAATTACCTCAACGTTTCGGAAGCTAAAATCAGTCTCCGTCTTCAGAATTGTAAAAAAATCTAATAATTCTGCATTTTTTCTTCAGTTCGATTTATTTTAACAATCGGGTTTCTGTATAATCTCTCAGCTCTCTTATTTTGATAGGCAAAATAATTGAATACTACAAATTAGTGATAAAAAGAAGATTGTTCTATGTGAAAAATACTTTGAATTCACACAGGGTAAACTGAAAAGTTTAACCTTTAACCATCTGTATACATTCTTCATTGAATTATTTTTTCATATTGGAACAACCCAAAAGGGTCAATTTTTTTCAAGGACAAAACACAAGCACTACAGGAATATCCTTAACGCGCTATAAGAGGGCGCTGGTGATTATTTCCATTGGAAAAACGTTCTCAGGAAGTTGATTTAACATAAACGCAGTTCTCCGAATGAAAGAGTTCTTGAACAGTAAAGTTCGAGGTGTACTGAGTTGAACTTCAAACCGATGAGCACCCACAGTACGTTGCGTACTGTGGGTGCTGAGGTGTGTACAATTCTGTGTTTCGGAACAGTGTTCCAAGCTTTTGAGAAGAAGCCTTTGCAATTCCAGCGACATGATTGTGTCAAGACATATTGGTGTCCATTTTAAGCCCAAACAAACTTATCAAAGCAGGAAGCGGAATTATCTGTACTGACATTATTGTATCCGGTTCGGAGACATTTATCATTTTGCAGAAAACCGATACATGGGTTTTTGTGGCATTGAATTGAACTTGATTATATTCACCCCAATTCGAAATCACTTCTAAATGCTTATTAACAAAAACTCTATTTCCTCCACAAGAAATGACTATGCGAATCAGTTATATTTCCACAAATTTCAAAAGGAGTTTGTGAAAAACAAAAACGATTTCACCGGCTTTATGATAGAGTTGAAGCTGCATACATAGTACGTAAACACTCGGCGTTGGCCACTGGTGGGTTTTTTTCATATGATGAATGTAGCTGCTATCAAAAGCTAAATAACCCTTACCAAAAGCATTCCGACTATGGAGAGGCTATGTGAGCGGTACATAAGAGATGGAGTACTAGTTCACAACCCACTTCATCCAAATCAGCGTGCATATACTCCGGGAAGGTCTACTGATTCGGTCCTTCACCATGTGGTTGGCAGATTTGAAAGATCATTGGACAACAAAGAATCCACCCTGGGTATATTCATAGATATCAAGGGAGCGTTTGATGAAACAACCTTTTCAACAATTACCTAGCAACTACGCTCCAGGAATGTACCCCTGCGAGTAGGAGAATGGATTCTCAAGATGCACTCTAGGAGAGCAATGAGTATCAATGTAGAAGACATCACAGTGAGAGGACTGGTCATGAGGGGATGTCCACAGGGAGGAGTCTTATCATCTCTTCTCTGGAACATAGTTTTGGATACCCTGATTAATCACCTCAACAATAATATATTCTACACAATTGCACATGCAGATGACATAGTCATCTTGCAGTCCGGCAAATTTGTGAACATACTGTGCGATAGAGCGCAGGATAGACTTAAATTAATAAAAAATGGTGTAAGGAACACTGTCACTGTCAATCAATCCCAAGAAGACTGAGATGGTCCTTCTCACCAGGAAAATAAGTTTATTGGGTTTAAAACCTCCCGAAATCTTCAAAAGCAGAGTAAACTTCTCTGAAGAGGTGAAGTACTTTGGTACTATCTTCGACAGGAAGCTAACATGGAACTCTCACCTACAGAGTAGAACAAAAAGAGCATATGTGGCTTATGAGCAATGTCGGAGGATAGTGGTACGCTTATGGGGTCTTTCACCCCGTGTGGCCATCTGGATCTACACTGCAATAATAAGACCTATGTTAACGTACAGAGTCATTGCATGGAAACCGAAAGTTCTACAAGCAACAGCCATCCAAAAATTATATCAAATACAGCGATTGGCTTGTTTACACATCACAGCAGCCATGAGAACAGCACCAACCGCGGCAATGGGATTAATTACTGGTCTGACACCTCTGGACCTGTACGTTAAGGAGGTTGCGTTAATGGCCATGTTACGATTGCGCACGGCTGGTGTAAACTTCGAAGTAGGAATGGGTCAACTGAAGCTGGGCCTATGGCAAGAAGCGCTTACTGCGCAACCTCTGCTGCAGGCAACCAGTGATGCAATTGATTCCAGTTTTGTGTTTAATGAACCCTACAAAATATAAATGAAACAGAACACAGAGTTAGATGCTATAAATGCAATACGCATATATACAGACGGCTCAAAAACCAAAGAAGGCTCAGGATGTGGAGTGTACTCCAAATCACTAAGCCTAAGAATTGAGTGGGGAATGGGAAAAAATTCCAGCGTGGTCCAAACAGAACTGGCTGGTATCTCAATCGCCAGAAAAGAAATAACCAGAAAAGGAATTTCTGGCAAAAACATAACAATCTGCACTGACAGCAGACAAGCCCAATTAGCCTTGAATAGATAACGTGTTACCTCGAGGCTAGTACTAGAGTGCCACCAAGATTTAGCCAAAGCCTTGGTAGATAATAACATTATCCTGTAATCGCATTGCCGACTCTTTAGCCTAGGAAGCGGCTGAACTAAGAAGTTTAGGACCCAGTGACACCTACGGCCTGATGACTTCGACAATTGCGAAACTAGCCAAATGTTACACCCATGCTCAATCCCTGAAGAGTAGGGATGGAATCAAAGGATGCAATCTTGCCAGGATCACCCTGGGCAACCCTGGGAAGCTGGCGCCGAAGAAATATCTGGCGATGACCAGGAAAAATCGACGCTTGACAGTAGGATTTATGACTGGCCACTGTCAACTAATGAAAACCCTCGATAATATGGGGCTAGTGGACACACCTCTATGCAGGATGTGTGAACAGGAGACTGTCGGGCATGTCCTATGCGAGCGCCAGGAGTTATCGTCAATAAGAGAGTGTGTGTTCGGCCAGTCTTGGCCTACACCTGCCCATATAAAGGAGATGTCTCCTAGTGACCTGTCCACCTTCGTGTAAAGGACAGGATGGACAATGACCCAGGTGGACATCTCCTCGGGAGGATGTATAATAGGTCACATGTGGCTTGAAAGCTGTGGGCTTACACTCACCCTCCCTACTCTACAGATACAGATACAGAACTTCACTTTTTGATCATTCAAAACGATT